AGTTAAGTGGATATTCATTTGTAGGCATTAAATCAACACAGTAAATCAGTTACTTTGTGAGATTTCTAACGAAAGTGTTTTGCTCAACCTGTTCATTTTACAATATTCTTTATAAAACAAAAAAAGTGTACAAGCATTCCAGATAATTTAGAATATATTGCAAAACAAAATTTAGCTAATCAAATTAATCACACAAGCTCAAAATACTAGTGCAGTTCGATTCGATTTCTTTTAGAAAAGTACTACGAATGAACTACTTTTACGACTTTGTGTTTTATTGGTTCCTGTCTTTTTTCTCTAAAAACGGAAATGAATTTTCTTTTTCCTTTATGCGTCTTGTAATTCATGAAACAACCCAAACTGATGGAAGAATTAGCGCAAGTGTCCAATCACTTGGTTTTTGATACTCTTGATACAAAGATTTTAAATTCAGTAGGCGTTCAAAATATTTCAGTCTTTTGTGCCTGGAATCTCACACCTTTGTGAAAACGTGTTCGTCGACTCGCTCTACAATCTGACAGTCAAAAGCTTTTTAGTCGAACATTATAATGGGTCTTCAGGCATCTGGTTTTCAGAGAACTATCAAAGGAAGACATAATGGCACAATGAATGTTAGCATCAAGAATTAACTGATAGGATACTGGAGAAGATTCCTTCATGAGTACTGCTTTAATAATCATCGACTCAATCAACAGAACTATGTTATTGATACCAATATTGAATTTGTACATCCTTTGATGGCGGCGCTACACCGAACCCAACTCTATCTGCTCGTGTTTTTGGTGTTGTTTCATCGATAAATTTATACTCTATTTGTTGAAAAATTAACGCTAAACAAATTTTAATTTCATTTTTGGCAAAATATTTTCCAGGGCACATTGTTTTTCCTGTACCAAATGGCATATAGGCAATTGGTACTTTTTGCCTATCAAGCTCCAAATTATTTATAATTGTATTGTTTAAAAATCGATCAAATTTATAGATAAATGGTTCATGGAACAGACGTTCATCGTAATGTGAAGCAGCCGGAAATAAACTGATTCGATCATTTTTTCTAATACTCAATGTTTTTCCATCATAGGTTTGAATTTGTGTATTCGACGAACAAGTTCGTAGCATCATCGGCGCACCATACATTCGTAATGTTTCATTAACTGCACTTTCCAACAGAACACATTTGGCTAATTTTTCAACAGTCCACGAGTTTTCATCAAATTCAATATTTTCATCTAACTTTAAAACCGGTAAATTTTCTCTAACTTCTTCTTGTAATTGTTCTAATGCACGACAATCACGTAAAATATGAAACAATGTCCAAAATGCTGCTGGAATGGTATTTCCAACACTTGCCCATAAAAATGCTAAATGATTACCTCCAATGTCGGATGATGAAAAATATTGCGGATACATTTTCATCAAGTCTGTTCTCATTTTTGTCATTCGACTTTGATTTTGAACATGTTCAATATTTGATAGTTGCTGAATTAAATAATCTCGTGCATTCAATGTTTTTTGAAAAAATGTTGATTTTATAAACGATGGAACATTAATGAATAATAACTGAATATTTGAATTAAATTTTTCAAATGATTTCTCATAAGAATGAACATCAATTTCACCATATATTGTACGAATAGATGGAACAAATATCATCAAATGACATAAATCGAGTAAGCCACATGTTTTTATAGTATTTTTCAATTCTTGTTTGTCTTTTATCATTTCTTCACGAATATTTTGAACAAAATGCGCGATTAATTCTTTTAAACTATCGTTCTGTAAACCTTTTGGATAATCTTTGCGCATTTGAACATCGATTTCATCATGACCTAAACAAAACAACATAGATTTCTGAATGATTTCTAGATATTCATGCTATACCTAATGCATCGGGAGTAATACCAAACGCCCTTGTTGCTAATTCAGTTCCAGGAAAGCTTAAATTAGAGTTTTTGATAATTGCATTCCAATTTCTTGGATCCATGACAAATGTTGTACGTTGTCCCATTACTTTTAATGTAAATGTTGAACCGTAACGTTGACGACAAGATAATAAAAATTTTAATGGATCACGCATATATTGAAATAAATGGCCAAAATATGGTAGAAAGTGTGGTACAACAAACGATTCATTTTCATTTATTACAGCAGAGAGTTTAATGTAAAATAATACTGTACCACATAATAATATAAAGACAACAATCAGTGTTGACCAATCATAAAAAAGTTGACCACTTAAATACAACATCTACAAGTCAAAAACGAGGATTTGTATTGTGCACAATATAAATGGCTATAAGAATTTATGATCATAGAAAGACTGGAANTATGGTAGAAAGTGTGGTACAACAAACGATTCATTTTCATTTATTACAGCAGAGAGTTTAATGTAAAATAATACTGTACCACATAATAATATAAAGACAACAATCAGTGTTGACCAATCATAAAAAAGTTGACCACTTAAATACAACATCTACAAGTCAAAAACGAGGATTTGTATTGTGCACAATATAAATGGCTATAAGAATTTATGATCATAGAAAGACTGGAAAGAATGGGCTTATTTACATAAGTTTTTAGACAGTTCAGCTTTATGAATAAGACTTACCCTGCATATTTACTCAATACCTTGACCGGAGAACATACTAAATTAGAACCTAGCAGCTGAACCTAGTAGGTAGACATCCTCAAAAAGCCTCAGCAGGTTACCAACTAAAACTTTGTTGAAAGCTCTGTTACAGATTCTCTAGAAAGAGTATAAGGTAGTTCCTAAGGGCTTTATGCAGAAGATTTGATCTTATTTATACCATATTTTCTTGAATTTTTCTAAGAAAGTTTAGTAGTACTGACCCGCAGATTCCGTTCCATCGTTTCCAAGCCGAATAGATACCCGTTCCAACTAGACATCTTGATAAGAAATGATTTTTTGCACCTACCATGCTCATGCAAAAATAAAGTTTATTCATTCATTCACTGGGACTATGGCAAGAAGCGGTGCAGATTATTTCAGATGGCTTCTTGGCTGGAACTAGTAAAAATCGGCCTAATTAGTAGAGGTCATCATTATAGAAGCCTGCGATAAAGAGTGAATGTTTTCTTCGACAACTAAGCGATCCCTCAGTGAGGAAAAAGCGTGAAAAGTTTTTTGGAACTTGGTATTTCTTATATAGAATGCAGTATAATGATACGGAATAGTGAAAGGAAAATGTCAGCGCTCCTCATCACTATTAAAAAAAGGAAAAGTTTCTAAAGACTCTCTTTGAATTCTCTTAAAACTGAGGAGTCCTCAGGGGAAATAAAATCGCTTTTTATGCTAAACTTTTACAATTAAAGGGAAACTACAAAAACTAGCTTAATCTTGAATAAGAACTACATTGTACTTGGAAATTGATAAATATAACTTATAAAATATGTGAACAGTCCTAGATACACATACGACCATTTCTACATCTTATGCACTAAGGATATAATAATAAATGATGGATCAGGAATTGTCAAGAGGAAAAAAGCTGATTTGAAGCTCTTTTCGATTTTGACCGATTTCAAATCGATTTCAAGCGATTCTGTCACTCAAAATCGATTACGCAAGAATCGATTTTCAGTCATTTTTAAGGTGGGAAAAGCTGGTTTGGGGTATCAAAATGACTGAAAATCGATTTTGAGCCACAAAATCGCTTGAAATCGATTTCAATCTATCACAGTGGACCAAAATCGATTTAAATCGGCCAATATCGAAAAGAGCGTCAAATCAGCTTTTCCCCCCTTGGAAATTGGTCTTATTTAAGGAAAGAATAAGTGAAGTACAGAAAGCTAAATTCGATTTCTTCTTGCTTTAATAGAATTCTCGCAGCTTACATCTGACCTCAACAGGATGTTATGCACAGAGGCGCAAATAACGGGAGGGTGCGCACCTCCCGAATAATTGAAAAAACTGTTGTTATTATATCCATTATTCCTCGCACAAAAACTTTTTTTATGAATTTCATACTACCTCAAAGAGAAATTTTGTTTTACATACCCCTAATGTTCTGCTCCTATTTGCGACCCTGGTTATGCGATCATCATAGGCGATTTACGTTACAGGTTACAACCACACACATATCCAATTCAGAATTCTAGACCCTTATCTTCTCAGTGAAGGAAATAATCTATTCACGCTTGCCACTTATATAGGTAAATAATAAAATAGAGAAACGCAAAACACCAATAGCCATTTATTCTCTACCTTTACATATGGTGTGAGTATTTGTGCACCAGTGTACGTGTACCACAAAAACGTGTCATTTGCTGACGTGGTATCAGATGTGTTCATGATGACACTGTGTATGTTTGTCATGTTGACAAACATACACAGTGACATAAGAAAATTTTAACGAGCAATTTGTGCATGAAAACTATTTTGGGATGTTATAATAAAAATCAAAAGCAAAACAAATTTTCTTTTCTTTGTAATTTATATCTAAAATTAAGATGTATTTTAACATTCTTCGATTGTACTTTCTGAAGGCTAGTACTGATGTAATATGATCAGTGTACTTCGACCTGAAGAAACATAGATCTCGAAGATGTTTTACGAATAGACAATCTTACTTATTAATGTCCGTACTGCATGTAGACCAACTGTTCTATATCTTGAAGGACGAAAAAGTTCTCGCCTTCGACAAAAGTCGATTTCAATGGAGATGAGGTTGTCCTCTAAAGGCTCCAAAGCAGCCGAGCTTTTTCTTCAAGGACAGATCATTAAATTCAGCTGATTTAACGAATTTTAGCTTTGTTCTTCCAATGGTTGGCACTAATAGTCGAACAACAACGCCCGATATAGACGACTGGTGTGAGATGAAGACACCGTTTGTCAAATAAGCTTTTCGAGAATGAAGCGATATAGAACTATAACAACGCTTGAAAGTGTTTTAAAAAACGACTAACGGGTATAACCATTTGGACCATATTATAACGGTTTAAACGTTTTCCACGAGAAAAAAATCCTTGAAAAGTGTTTCGAGAAGCGTTCAGATCGTTTTTAAAATACCTAGAGAGTTTTTAGAGCAATAATTAAGTACATTTATCAAAATACAAAAACAAATAAATGTAATTCAATTATTAACCGTTTTTCACGGTTGACAAAAATCGTCAAACGTGTTTTACAAAATAGTTAAACCTTGTTTCAACAATGTTTAAAGGGTATAACCATTCGAACCATATCATAACTGTTTGAACGTTTTTCACAGCTGAAAATACGCTTATTAGTTTTTTAGAACGCGGTTAACCGTATTTTAAAACTCCAAAATTAGTTTTTCGGTCACAAACTAGAAACAGACAAACAGTTATAATATGGTTCAAGTGGTTATGCCCTTTAAACGTTTTCTAAAATACCCTTTTTTTAGAGTGTAGTAGTTATCTATACCGAAGCCATGATATGGTTCAAGACTATTCAGAAAATAAAAGTAAGTAAGTAACATTTTTAGATCATATCTTCAGTGTTTTCTAATGGTTTAAAATTCTTTTTTTAGACCTATAGTTACATCATGTTTCACTCGAACTTTTCGTCGAATACATGATGTAATCCAGCTGCCGACTCCTCTCTAAAGAGCGTTTCTTGAGGTAGGTAGGACCCAATGTCAACGTGTTTTACCCGGTTTTCTCTTCGGGAACACGATCTAATATATTTCAGAATTCGTTAGAATTTGACCTCAATTACACAGCAATTTTATTCTCACCTCTTCACTATCTCTCAGTCAATTGCTATACACATCATTTCAATTTATTTAAGTTTTGTATTACTGTTGCGTCTGTGTTCACTGAATAGAAGAATTTTTTGTGTTTTCAAATCCCATTTCTCTTCCTTCATACTCACAAAAAAAAGAATAAGAAAAACGGCGAGCAATGTGCACGTGTAAGATATAGAAAAGAAATCTTTCGACTGTTTCAGTTCACTGCTCTTTTCTTACCTTTTCTCTTTATTTCTATTTCCACCACTACCAATAAACGCAAACATAAGGTAGGACGCAAGTAACATTTTATCGTTCGAAAAGGTATCTGCAAAATCATTTTCGCTTTTACCTTTGGACTCTCTACCTAAAACTTCTTTGAAACTAAGTTAAGAATTGCCTCTACAGTTCACTTCAGCATATGTTCTTTCCATTCACATTTTAATTTTGTTTTTTAGAAATAGACATATGGCCAAAACCGTAGCTATAGCTGGTGCTGGCGATGTAGCAAAATATGTCGTTGAAGCACTTGAATCTACTCCACACAAAATCGTCGTTTTATCCCGTTCAAATCGTCCATGGTTTAGTGGTCGCAAATCCATTGAAATTCGCCTTACAGATTACACATTTTCATCGCTCAAACTTCTGCTAGAAGATGTCGATGTTTTGATCTCCTTGCTTCATGACAACACTGATTTTTATAATGCAGCACACTTGGCAATGATTGAAGCATGTCAATCGCCGTCCGTTAAATGTAAACGATTTATTCCATCTGAATGTGGTGGTGATATTGAAAAATTCCCAGACTATCCGCTGTTTTATGTACCAACACATGGTGCTATTCGGAAAGTTCTTAAAGACCAAAATGACGTTGAATACACACTATTTAATCTCGGATGGTTTATGGATTATTTTGTTGAGCAACCGGGAAAATCTTATATGAAAAATATTCAACCAGTTTGGCCGTTGAATTTAAATGCAAAGAAAATACGGATTAGGGACTGTATGGATATTACGGAGCAGAAATGAACACTTTTGAATTGATGAGCATTTTTTATCACAAAGGAGATGAGTCAGTGACCATATTCTGTTATTGTCTTTCGATATCAATGTTTCGGTCATAAGCGGCGGAGCCTATAAACTGAAAGATCTTGAGGGTAAACTTAGTTCGGACTTCAAGAGGCTAAATTAGAAATGTGCTGGATGAAGCTTCTCTATTCCCGCCCCTGACCCGTAGATTTTTGAAAGTCTCGTGGTGTCAGGTAAAAATTCAGAGATGGATGCGAGTCACCACTTTTTCGAGTCTGAGTCGAGTGCGAGTCAGTAGCCTTCCAGTCGAGGTCCGAGTCATTTTCTACAGGAAAACTTCCTTCTGATTCATTTTTCCAAGAACAATTCTTCAATGGCTGACTCGTAAGTGACTCGAGTCAGTTTATCGAGTCTTTCACCACGAGCCCGAGTCAAAGACAAATGCGACTCGAGTTCGAGTAATGACTCGGGCTCGCCCATCTCTGGATAAAAGTATTTCATGTTGTTTACCATTTAAGAGAGCTATCCTGAGTGAAAACAACTGATTTTTAAGAAAGTTTTGAGTTGATTTTTCCAGCTTTTTTCAGAAAAATTCTTTGGTGTGCGTTTGGAGGCTGTGAAATTTTGATAAAAAGACACAATCCTGCAGCCACTTACACATCTATGCTAATCCTACCTTACATTTACCATGAAAAAGAGGCTTTTTTCTATTACTTCTCGAAATATCATATACAACAGGCACATAATCGGGTCAAATTTGTGTCAAAGAAAAGTTTTTTAGTTCTTGTAGAAAATATCGAAAAAAGTTGTACCAAACGAACAGTCATGAATACTGAGTAGTTTTCGGAAAGGATTTTTTAACGATATTTTTAATTAATTCTATAGATACTATCATTTATTTTGGAGCATTTGTCGGTGTTTTCGCAATTTCCACAAAAAAATGTCCTCATTAAAAAACTTTATTTAGGAGCCCAATACTGGAAACTTTAGTACATTTTTCTGACGGCGAAAGTACCCCAACACAAAAAAGATTTTAATGAGAAGAAATTCCTGTGAAGAGCATTTGCTTCAATATGGTTTTTTGTGCTAGTATCGAATATGTCTTTGGTATTGGAAGGAAAAGGATTTTCAAAGTAAAAAATGAAACTGGTTTGATATTTATAAAAAAGATATGATCGCCAGGGGAGAGGGTGGCTAAAACATCGACAATATCTGAATACCCTGTTACGGGTACAGGTGATGAGCCAGTAACATTTACGGCTGGTAGAAATGTTGGTCAGGCATTGGCGCGTCTCGTTGATGTACCAAAATGGGAGGAGTACACATACGTTGAAGGTGAGACAACAACTTGGAATGCTGTTGTGGATATGGTGCAAAAGAAAATGCCGGGTGTGAGATTAGAAATTGAAAGAAGAAGTTTAGAAGAAATTGAAGAATCAAGGAAACAGCATGAAAACGATGTAGATAAGAAACAGTTGTGGTTTGATTTCATGGATCAATGGAACGGTACGGGTGCAGCATCGGTACCACTGGAAAAGGCACGGAGACAAAGAGAAATGTACTTCAAAGGTATACACTTTTATAAAATTGAAGAATTTATGCAACTGGGAGAAAAAACTGATGGAGTTGTATGACGTACATTTTCAAGGCGGAAGGATCAGAAGAACGCATTTTTGGTCTTCTATCTTGTTGTTGTATTATAATAATTTTTTTAATAAGATTAGTTTCAAAGGTGTCACTCCACAAAAGCTTGGATATAATGCTTTTGTCAAGAGACTAATTTTTCTCACCCAATACACTCGTAATAAAACTGATTAATTCTTATCAATTATTATTGGTATATAGCGTGACACGACATTACCGCGAACAGGACCGCTACTCTTGCACAAATCTTTCCATAGTACACATTTCGGTACTTTTGGCAGTGTTGTGGGAGATGGGGGGAGTGGGTAGTGTGTGAATGAGTTCGAAATAGGGCTGTGACAGTTACCAGTTACCGTTACCACAGTTACTCGGTAACTGTAACTGCTGAACAGATGATGTTCTTGGTAACGGTAAGGGATAAGCAGTTACCGTACAAGTAACGGGAACTGTTCAGTATATCTTTCAAGAGTCAAATCTCTAAATATCTAGGTATCCAGGGTGAGGGTGAGGCTACGAACTTTCACCCTCACTCTGGATATCTAGATATTTAGAGATTTGACTCTTGAAAGATATACTGAACAGTTACCGTTACTTGTAACTGGTCGTTATCGTTACTTCTACGGTAACTGCTTACCCGTTACCGTCACCAAGAATGTCAACTGTTTAGCAGTTACAGTTACTGTAACGCTAATGGTAACTGTCACAGCCCTAGTTCGAAAAGTAGTTTCATACAAAACATATTTTCATGATGCGAAACTATATATCTGTAACTGTATGACATAATGAACTATTCACCACATAACTTTAGTCAGGTTTCATGTCATTCACGATAATGTCGGTGTATCGTATATGAGTATCACTTTCTAAATAAATAAAGTTTTTAGTAGAAAGAAGCGAGCTGTTCTATCGTGGCTTGAAAAACTATTACCCTCTCGCTGAATAGAGTAAATTACTAATTAAGAAGAAAGATCAAGAGCAGATGTGAGCAAGTCCAAGTCCTGACTTGAAGGTTTTTTGATGGACTTGAGCTTAACGCTCAGCAAACTTGAACTTGACCTGGACTAGGGGATATTTTTACTGCATGTTTGCAAATATAAATTTTTAAGTTGGTCTTGCATGAACACATCATAGGTATGGTGATCAACCTTCCAGCATACAACCCTGATAAGAATTCATCTTTTTGTTTACGATCCTTCTCATTCTATTTAAAAAACGAACCGGGCACAAATCGATGAAAAAACCAGGTACGTTTCTTTTTCCGGGTACAAAAGCATGAAAACATTTATTTGTATCCGGATCGGGCACTAATCGGTAGCATCGGACACGAATAAATGAGAAAGTCGGGTACAAAAAATATTTTCACGCCATGAGAGAAGGTTTAACTCCAAATTTCTAAACATTACCCATGAATAAATAAATTTAACAAAAATACTAAAAATAAACTGGTTTAATCGCCCACGCACAGCATCTATCTTAACCCCTAAAGATGGTAATGCTCAGGAATGAAGAACATCATTAGAAATGATTAAAACACGAATAAACTCCTGAGACAGTAGAAGAACTCGAGTATCCACATTCAATAAACGTTCAACGCCATCAGGATCAATATAAGAATCATACTCATACTCAATATTCCTATCAGTTTCATTACTTCAATACCATTGATGACCAATAACTTTTAAAGTACAAAGAAAATTTGTTCTATTCTTATCAATTAAATACAACAAATAAATAGAAAGGCAAACTAATAAAATTAAAATCACAATAGGTAAACTAGTTCAAATCCTCTTAATCAGATGATTAGCAACAACATTTTATGAATAAATTCAACTTTCTGTTAAATCAACAATCTATATAATGCAACTCATATACCTTAAAACATAATTTGTGTGTATCTGAATCAAAATAACTTAATTTTCACCATCAAACAAAATTAAAAATGTTTACTACCTGAAAAAATATCATCGTACTTTATCTGCAATGTCTCGGTTACGTAGAACAGTAAAGCATATAATGCATGCACATGAAGATGTGCATAGATAGTGTTTCCATCGATGTCCTCTTTTACAATCGATTCTGCTCTCCACAAAATCTACTACTATGTTTGATTCGTTCCATCTGCATTGTATGATTAAAAAATAAGCATAATAGTCAACTTTAAGTTACTTCTGTCCGCACTTTTCATATCGCAGATGTTTTATTTCCCAACTGTTAACTGTTATCAGCTTCAAAATAAATATAGCGGCCAAAAGAATATCGCGTACGACCAAAGTAAAGAAAAACAATGATATTTTATCTTTTACTGGTTGTTCTCTCATGTATGAACACTGCCTTAAATGCAAATGAACATTTTTTACCAGGTAAGTGGTCAATAAGTGTCAGAAGGTTGAACAAAACAAAATGAACTATTATCCATCCTAAGATATAAGGCCAGAAGTTATTTTTTAAATAACTCAAAGACTGTAAAAGATAGCGACTTGCGGTTTCCAGCGATCGAAAGAGGATAGTTTAGCCTATATTTTGATAAGCAAAGACGATTTTCGAAAATAACTTCGGAATCTGGTTTTCTAGAAGATATTTCGAAAATCATTTCATAATGTAAAAATTTCATATAGCAGTATATTTCTTTTTTACATAGATAGATAGCCCAAAGTGTCTTCTTCAAAATGGAAACTAAGCGACCTTTAATCTTTCGTGGTTTAGGCATGACATCGAATTTCTACGACGATTCAATATCGATATTTTCTTAGTAGCAGTGATCATGAAAATGAATGGAAACATAGGTTATCGACCACACTGAGTCTCGCGGCAACGTTTCCCAAGCTAAAAGAAACGACCCTGCATCGCTTTTTTTTTCTGCTGGGAAAGTTACTAGATGCAGCTAGATAACTAGATTTTTTTTACTCATTTAGCTAGATGCTGCTGCTGGAGCATCGACTTATCTAGCTGCATCGCCC